AAAAAAAAAAGAAAAAAGAACGGTCAGTACCGTTCTAGGAGAAGGAAACTAACACCATAGACACCATAGCACCAAATATTTACCGGGAGAAAGTCCAGGCTGAACTGCTAAAAAAAAAAAAAGAAAAAAGAACGGTCAGTACCGTTCTAGGAGAAAGAAACTAACACTATAGTAAACATTATAGCATACCTATTTACCGGGAGAGAGCCCAGGCCGAAATGCTAAAAAAAAAAGAAAAAAAAACGGTTAGTACCGTTCAAAAAAGAAAAAATAAAATAAAAATTGAATTCTACCTTAAAACATTTTAACCGTTCCTATTAAAAAAAGAAAAAGAAATGGGTTAAATACGGCTCCTAAAAAGAAAAAAACAAAAAAAACCTACTTAAAATGTTTAACAAAAAAAAGAAAAGGTAGGAATGGTTAGTACCGTTCCGAAAAAGAAAAAAACAAAAAAAAAAATAAAATAAAAGCTTCTGAACTTACCTCAAAGAGCCAATTAGCCGTAAAGAACCGTTATTATTAAAAACTTTATAATAATTAAAGTAATTTTTAGTGTAGTTACTAATGAGTTAAACTAACACTATTTCAGATTAATAAAATAGTAAAAAATAGTAGAAAACAATCGATATTTTTTTTAAAAAAAAATTTTTTATTTGCCTCAGATTAAAACCGAGGCACCTCAGATTATCAATGATCCACATCACGCACCTCACATGACGATTTCAATCTGAGGTGCGTGAGTTGCGATCTGAGGCAAGAATCGATCTGAGGTACAACATTATCAAATAAAATAAAATTTTCATCTACACAGTGAAATTCGATAAACCGGATCTTCGATAAACTGGATTTAGGCCTAAACCGGACTTTTTTGCTGGAACCAAATCACGTATATTAAAATAGTTTCGATATACCGGAGTTTACTAGTAAAAGCTCGATATTCGCTATAACGGATCAATTTTCTAACCAGCTATAGTAAAAATGATTCGATAAACCGGATCACGTGATCATTAGCCAATAAAATTTAAGTAATGTGATGCGGTAAATCTTAATTTTGGCCAGAATTATAAAAATCTTAATTCCGGCTGAAGTTATGTATTACTTATATCTTCAATTAATAGTTTTAAGTCACAGATTTCATGAAAATGAATAAGATGAAAAAACTAAATTATAGCGTGTATTAGTTCTATTATCATGAAAATTTTTTGAAAATTCAGCATAATAGATTTTCAGTATATCGAAATTTTTTCGCTATACCGGATATCCCGATAAACCGGATAATTTTAGTGGAACCGATAGATCCGGTTTATCGAATTTCACTGTGTAATTAAAAATGGTCACGTGATTTATATATAATGTCCGGGACATAAAAAATACCGGACATGGACATGGACAGTCCCGTCCCGTCCTGTCCAATGTCCGTGTCCATGTCCCATGACAACACTGGGGTAGTTATCCCGACCCGTCCCAACCCGTGACCGTGGTAAAACAACACAGTGATGACAAATAGGATTTTGACTAACGAAAAAAAAGATCTCCAGACACTTATGGATTAGGTGACAAATAAAATCTATTTTTAGAAGCGGGCGGAATGACTGATCCGGGATGACAGCTCGAAAGGATTGGCTTAGATTATAAGATGAAATGTTAAACAAGGTGGCTTTGTTTGTACTACTATTGTGTATGTACGGCATTATCAAATTATTTTTAAGAAATAAATCCATAGAACTCTTTTTGTTTCTTTTCGATTATTTATTTTATCTACGATTACTAATAATATCAAAATGCAAAACACAAAAAATACAAATGAATGGGTTAATTGGATTGAAGAATCTATATCTAGGGAATATTATAGATTTTATGAACATGAACATTTTAGTAATATTCAAATAATTGGAACTGGAGGGTTCGGAAAAGTTTATCGTGCAAGCTGGAAAAATTCCGAACAATATTTAGCGTTGAAGTCTTTTTTTAATATTGATAACGTCACTGCAAAAGAAATTGTTCATGAGGTATAAATTATGAAGTTAATATTTTAATATACGTAATATATATGTGCTCATTTAAATTTATATTATAAAATATTTAATATTCCAGCTTAAGCTTCAGCGTGATATACAATTTCATAATAACATTATTAAATTTTATGGAATTGCAAAATTTGATCCAGGTAGGTATAATAAAATAAATGTTCTAATACGTTGTTTGATTTTATAAAAATATATTTTGATAAAATGACTATTTCTTCTATTTATAATTAGAAAATGATAACGTTCAATCAAAAAATTATTTACTAGTTATGGAGTATGCTGATTCTGGTCCACTTAAAAATTATTTAAAGGAAAACTTTAATATTCTTACTTGGAACGATAAATACAACTTAGCATACCAATTAGCTTGTGCCGTGTCATGTATACATAACGAAGGCATCGTGCATCGTGATTTGGTAATTTATTTTATTATTAATTATAAAAGTGTTATTATAAATTTTTTTCCATATTTTTTAATATCATAACGTATTTACAGCACTCTGGCAATGTTTTGGTCCATCAAAACACTATTAAGTTGTCCGACTTTGGGTTGTCAAAGAGAATTGAATCATCATCCAATACACAATCAAAACTTTTTGGAATAATTCCTTACGTTGATCCAAAAAAATTTAGTGGACGAAGAAGGAATAGAAACTCAACACAAATATTCTCATTAAATGAAAAAAGCGATATCTATAGCATTGGTGTTTTATTCTGGGAGATATCTAGTGGTCAACCTCCCTTTTATACAGAAGGTGAACAATATGATGTTGATTTAGCAATAGAAATTTCACAAGGTCTTAGGGAAGAACCTATCCCTAATACACCAGAAGATTATATTAAAATTTATACTGGTATTAATTTTTTCTTCAAACCATTTCATTAACCTTTCTCATTAATTACAATTTAGGTTTATTTGGTTTACTTACAATATATAATTGTCTGTTTTTTTTAGAATGTTGGAATGGTGAACCAGATAATCGTCCAACCATAAATCAAGTTGTAGAAAGATTAAAGGAAATTATAGCAAAAATGAACATAACAACAGAAAATAATATTAGCGCTTCTTTGAATACTGATAATTCGTTACATGGGGAAATGTCTCAAATTATTCAAAATTTTAATAAAATGAATACAAAAGAAATTGTACCCGCAAATAATTCATTTGAAAAAGTTAATGATATAGTAAATTATATTTTTGAAATAGATAATGAAGGAAAAGTATCTACATTATTCAAAAATATTAAAAATATTCTTGATTATTTTAACGATAATAATATAGATTCACGAGAAATTTACGATTGGTTATTAATTAATCAAAATAATTCAGATTCTATATTCTTACTTGGATATTTTAATTATTTAGGAATTGAAACAAGAGAAGATAATAAGAAAGCATTTGATTTATTCATTAGCGCATCAGAACAAGGTCATACATTAGCACAATTATATGTTGGATTATGTTATCAATTAGGCCATGGAACTACAAAAGATGGAAAGCTATCTTTAAAATATTACGAAAAAATAGCAAGTATGGGTTGTGCATCAGGTTTATTAAGAGTTGGATACTGTTATTATCATGGAATTGGGACTAGTGTTAATTATCAAAAAGCAGTTATGTTATATAAACAGGCAGCAAATTTAGGAAATTATACGTCTCAAAATAATCTCGGTGTCATGTATGAAGAAGGAAAAGGAGTTGATAAAGATTATGACAAAGCTTTTGAATTATATTACAAGACTGCAAATTCCGGATTTAGTATAGGTCAATATAATCTTGCTCGGATGTATTATAATGGAAGAGGAGTTGATAAAGATTATGAAAAAGCTTTAGGATTATATTACCGATCGGCAAATTCAGGTTATAATTTAGCTCAATATAATATTGCTGTTATGTATGAATATGGAATAGGAATTAAAAAGGATGTAAATCAAGCGATTTATTGGTATGAGAAATCCGCTGAACAAGGAGTTCAAGAAGCTCAGGACAAACTAAAAGAATTAAAATATAAATAATAAACTAAGTTACTTTTTATTTAAATACATTATTAATTATTCTGTTAATTAAATGGTGCATGTATATTATTTATTAAAAGTACTACAAGATGAAAAAGATGACTCGCATATATAAGATTATATATTTAATTACTACAACTACAATGCAGTTGTGACTACGAGTACATGATATCACGTACTCACACGTAGTCATAGATATCACGTAGTCATAGACTCATGTAAGAACAATACTGCAAAGCGACTACATTATACAGTACAAATAGTAAATTTTACAATTACATAAATTTATTTTTACCTACAAAAATGTCACGAAAAATCACGTGACTGTTTTTGTCACATGCGCCACACCCTTCCTTGTTTCCATTTTCATAAGTATCTGAGGGACTTAGAATTTTTCGAGGTATGAAATCCTATTTGTCACACATTATTTGTCACATAGTTTAATTTCTTAATCTCTTAATGCCGGCCGTTTCGTGACATTTTTGTAGGGTACGCTGGGGTAGTCTATGATTACGTAACTACGTAAGTACGTGATAGGTAATGTAGTCGATTATATTTTTGTGCTCACGTACTCATGTAGTCATGAAAAAAAAATATGATTACGTAGTTAGGTAGTACGTAATGGTAAAGTAGTTACATGTACTCGTAATCAGAAGCACGTTGTAGTTGTAGTAAAAAGCTAATAACCGCATATATAAGTTTAAGTAGTTTAAGTTTAAAGTAGAGTAACCGTAATCCCAATAGTATTTTTACTTTTATTTAGACAAGTGATGATTTAAAAAACATAATTATAAATTTTTTTCTAAAGTTGTTTATCACTTCTTAAATTTATATCCATATTATAAAATAAAAAATATTGCGTACATTTTTTTTAGTCAATGAAATTATTAAAAAAATCATAATAAGATCAATTTTATTATTGTACCATGATTACTAACCGAAGAAATAATATCTATTTTATTTTTTAAATATAGACAATGACGGGAGCCATACATAATATCTGATATAGTAGATTTAAATAATGTTAAAAAAAAATGAAATATATTTCATGAAAAAATTTTCAATAATTCAGGTTTGAACACTCTATATCGTTCTTTTTCTTCTTTCAAAATGAACGTTCCATTAAACTAGTTAAACATAAAAGTATATTTAACAATTTACATATTTATTAATATTTTTATTTATTATACGTGTGCGTGTGTCTGTTCACAATAGTAATTCAGTTTGATTTAGTAATCTTCGCCCAAATTTACCGATGCATTAAATAATTAATATTATAATTCTTAAAATAGTTTGTGTTATTGAAGAGGATTATTACTATGATTTTCATGACGTGAAAGGAGCGATACGAATTGCATAACAATTCTTTGATGAGAATTTTAAAGATCGAATAATATTTACTATCTTTGCAGATTTAGAAGAATTAATAAATTTTAATTTTTTGGAGATTTTTTATTATTCATCATTTATTAATTTATTAACATAGGTAATAATCAAAAAGATTAAAATTAAATCAATTAAATCATCATATTCAAATTTATTGAAGTTTCTTCTTTAATATTAGAATCATATTCTTGTTCTTTAATTTATTATTCAACATTTCTTAATATATATAATAATTTTATAATAGTTTATTAATTATAATATGATTTCAAATTTTTAAATGACCGATTCTTAAGAGATTTCACTCATAATTTAAATAAAAATTTAAAATTATTAAATGTTAGTATGTGGGAAATTTCTATTGAAGGTTTAGAAATAATCTTGTATGTTACGTGGAAAATATAAAACTATGTTATTGTCCTTTTAAAGAAAGGAAGGGATAGGGTGATGGTAAATGGTGTACACGTGACCGTTTATCAGGAACGCGGCAGTTGTCGCGGCACCATCTCGATAATTTTCTGTTTCGATTTTTGTTAACGTTAACGACTGGCGTGTCTTGTTCATCTTCGCTCGTAGGAAGTGTTCGTTTTAGAAAAACATCTGGTTTGTTCAAAAAATTTCGTGCTTCTGTGTCGAAAATAAATCCGTATTTATGATTCGAGGAATGACTACGTCATTTACCTGCGTAATGATGAAGTAGATGGAATGTTCGGATTGGGTTTGGTGTTAATGTAGAAGTGTTCTCATCTATGTCCATTTCTTGAGTGGCCGTTGATAACTCGACGACCTGATTTCTTAGCTCTTTGTCTGGCGTTCGGTCGACTTATCACGTGACCGTAGAAGTGTTGCGGTAATAAATTTACGAAATATTTTTTTTTTCTTATATGAATAGAGTTATTATATACAGCTTAAATTCTAAAATAAAGAATAAATATATTTTAGTCATATCTTGATGATAGCCATTGTTTATATATTTTTTACACTAATACAATTATGTCTGTGTATTTTATTATCATATATACGCACTATATAGCATTATAGCTTCATACGCTCATATACATTTATACACAAAATTTTCCCAAATCCAATTAATTATAAAGATATCATGAATGTAAAAAACTTATTATCTTTTTTTTTATTTAAATAAAAAAAGCTACATATTTAAGTCGATATTAAATGTAACCCCAAACAGAATGAGAAACGAAAAAGAAAAAATAGTTACATCTATAATTAAAAGGAAAAAAGAAAACAACAAGAATAAAAAGAAAAAAAAACCAAAAATAAAACTAAAAGAGAAGAAAAACTCTATAATTGAAAAGTTCTATTTGTCTATGGGAGTAAAAATCTATATCCCAGTTCAATTCTTCAACTCCCTTCAGAATTACCCTGATTAATAGCCATAATTGCATAAGAAGTAAGAATTACACCTGGCGCCAACGTTAAGACACCTATTTTTAAAAAAAAATGAATTGATACATGCCCTACAAAATTTACAAAATTTTTTAGTCACTATCACCTCATACCATATGAGGTTTACCACCCTGTTAATTATGCCTAAACAGGGAACCCAGGACACCCATGTGGCCATCATAGGATCTATGGTAAATGGACTCATATAGTATTCAATAACAATTACTAAGTAAGTGACATGGCATAGGAGATATGTGTCATTTCCAACGGGAACCTGGCCTTCCCTTCCATATGGATCAGCTTGGGGATCACCTATATGGCATCATTGTAGCTATGCCTTCGTGCACAAAAGCAGATAGCTACTAGCCTGTAGCAAATGGTACGTACTACGAGCACATAAACCCCTATGTCAATAATAACAGTTCACCATCCGGAAGACTTTCAGTGAACCCTGCAGTGTTACACCTACACATACGTCCATCCGGTGAACTATTATAATTAAACTAACCACTTAATGATATGACCTAGCCTCGTTTAGTGTTAGCTTGTCCACTATCGAAGGAGCTCTAGTAGTAGAAGAGGGATCCGCAGGAGAATGAGAAGAAACGGAACCAGAAGCTGGAGCGTGAATAGAGGCTTCAAGAGAAGAGTTTTCCGGAGCGGTAAGTTCGGCGGTATTTTGAGTATTCATTACTTCCTATACAAGCTCTATTGAGAAGTGAATATTCGTGATGCGTAACCAAAGGAAGAATGATAACAGTAATAAAATTGCAGTGGTACTAAATTTGGCAAGAACCACAAAACGTCTAAACTGACAGGAGTAGTTAGAATGTTTTTCACTTACAAACAAGTTTTTAATAGCTAATGAAACACATTACCCATATGTTGTCCAAAGGCAGTAAATACAGTTCTTGATGTTGATATATCTTTTTTTTCCGTCTTAGTATTTACTTGCGCGTGAAAAAAAGGTATTTCTCTTGCGCGTGAAAAAAAGATATTTACTTACGCGTGAAAAAAAAGGTATTTATTTGTGTGTGAAAAAAAGGTATTTGTTAGATATTTATTTGAAAAGAAAGTATTTATAAAAAAAGTATTTAATTGTGTTTGAAGGAGGAATGAAAGAGATGGAGGAGAGATATGTATTAAAAAAAAAGAAAAGAACTGTATAAATATTATTTTTTTTGTTGTACAATGATCAAATGATATCAATACCAATACGGGATATTTGGTCGGTTACACTAAAAATTCTGACCAATAAAATTTAACTGTAGAATGATCAACTGACCGTTCAACGTGAACCACCAAAAACGTAGTCGAGTAGACAAAAATACTGATAAAAATAATGTTTATCAATCAAACCAACTCAATTGAACTTTGATCATGAGATTAATGTAACCTGACCAAAAAAGCCGATCGAACAATTATGAACTGGCCTAATATCAATACGTATGGTTATTGTAGCTTTTAATTACCTAATCATGACGTATTTACCTTTAAAAAATCTAATAATGATTTGCTAGTCAAAGAGTATAATTTACTGTAGTATAAATTGAGTAGATTATTTTGAAAATGATAATCAAAAATTCGGATTCAACACATGAATGACTCATCATGGTTAAGTGATACATGATTAAAATATATAAAATAGCCACTTTTTTCTCTTATTCTCTTTAACTCCTCTCTCCTTTCTTATTCCTTCTCGCTTTTCTTTTTCTTTTATTTTTTTTTTTCTTGTTATTAATAAATATTAAATTACGCTTTGTTACCAATAAGGTAGAAATTATTTAAGAACTTCTCTACACTCTCTGAAATCCAGTGAAATATTCCGACGAATTCCAGATGATTACGTTACATTATGCCACAAAGCCGAAATTAAAAAATTATTTCGGCAACACGTATAATGATAATAATAGTATAATAATAGTACGATTTCCATTATAAAAGTACAAAATAAATTTTTAAACATAATCTTTTTTGAGATAAGATTGTTTTTATCCTTCAATAGAAATTTTCCACATACCAAGACATAATAATTTTAAATTTTCGTTTAAATTTTGAGTGAACTCTCTTAAATATTGATCATTTAAAAATTTATCATAATTATCATTAATATAAAATTTCGTTAATTCTATTGTTATAAAGATTTTTGAATCTTTCGATATATTAAGAAATGTTGGATAATGTGATTGATCAATCTGTAAAAAGGATGATTAAAATTTAAAAAACTAGAATATTCTAAGGAATTTTTTTAATAATATTTGAATAATGATTTAATTGATTTAACTTCAATCTTTTTAATATTATTTTAAACTAGGAAACGGGAACCGTTGTAAGTCCGGAGCGAAAAACTAAAATTTGTGATTTCATTGGTAACGATCACGTGGCGGACAGAGAAATTCACGTGATCGATTCTTTTTCATAGTGCGTAGACATATATTGTCCTTCGCTTCGCTCCGGACAATGATGAATAATAAAAAATTTGAATTCCTATTATAAACTTTCATCTATAAATTAAATTTATTAATTTTTCTAAATTTGCAAAGATAAAAATTATTCGATCTTATAAATCCTCATCAAATTGTTATATAATTCGTATCGTTCCTTTTACGTCACGAAACCATAATAATAATCCTCTTCAATAACACAAACTATTTTAATTAAGAGTTATAATATTAATGGGAGAAGATTACTAAATCAAACTGAATTTGTGACGGACACACGCTGTTTTAATATCATTCAAATAAAATATTAATAAAATATCTGTGTAAACTGTAAACTGTAAATATACTTTTATCAGCTTAACATTTAATACTTAAGTTTCTTTAAAAGTTATTTTATTACATTATCATATTCTATTGGTCCTCCAAAATAGTTCATATATAATATTAAAGTTCTTATCGAAAATATATAAGATCTCTCTCACGAAATTGTTTCTAATAAAATCTGGATCAACTGCTAAGATACCACCAAATCAACACTATTCACGTTATTTAATATTTCAAATTGGAAATAAAGTATCCACACATTGATTGGTCTCTTTATAAAAACTGCTTATTTTCAATTAAAATACACGATGTTGAATGTAGAAATTGATGACTATTAGTTGCTACTGTACTGTAAAGAGTCTTTATATGAGGTAAATCGAATAAAAATGCATAAAGGGTAGACAATCCTTAATAATGGCTAAATTTAATAATTCTGGATCACGGTTAGTTACTACTACTCACGGTTCTATACTTCTATTGTCGATTAATAATTTAAATATACGATTTGTTAATCTTTGCAATTCTAGTTTTAAATCTAAATTTTTAACTCAAATATTTTTAAAGTGCACTTTTGCTAACAATGCTAAATTTTCATAATGCATTGTGCAATCCTTGTTTGTACAAGTATTGTACAAGCCTTATACAAGGTATTGTGAATTTTTATATAGTGAATAATTTGCTATAGTAAAGAAAAGCTTAGGTACGGATTTTCTATATAAATAATAATTCTTAGTACAATTCACCTTCGCTATAGTGAATCCCTTACTATAGTGAATCTTAACCTTCAGCCCATGAGCTTCACTATAGCGAGGGTGAACTGTATTTTTAATATTAATTTATTCACAATCAATTGTAAAATATATAATTCTGATACATTTTTCAATGAGTTTCATAATTTTTACAGTGTTTTCATAAGATTTTTACTTATGTATATATTGTACGATATAATTTACAATTGATTTCATAATTAACTATTCATTATTACAATAAATTTTGCAAATCAATAGGCTTGCATAATAATAACATTGGTCTTTTATAATTATACTAAGCCTTATTACCTTATTACTGAAGACTCCCACTTTTTGTCAATTCGTAAGATTAAACATATGTACATTGTATGTACATCTGTATATATATATACATATGCTTTTTCTTCTCCTTTTACTCGCTATTTCCCTTTTTCCTTCCTTTTTTTTCCATTTCCTTTCCTTCGTTTTCCTTTCGTTCCTTCTCCCATTTCTTCATTTCCTTCCCTCTTTCCGTCCTTTCTTTTTCGTATTTTATTTAAAAAAAAGTGTTACATTTCTATTTTTCCCTTTTAGGTGATATTTTTTTCAAATTAATTCTTTAACGAAACATTTCTCACGTTTCGTTTTCTTATTTTTTAGATGGCCGGGAAGGTTGCTTTGAAGATGGGATTTCGGCAAGTAAACGAAAAATTTTTTTTTCAACAAGTTTTGTTCTTTTTTCCCTCTATTTTAGGCGACTTTTCAATTCTTTACGTGGAGTGGGAGTTCATTCAGATCTTTTGATGTGGGTGAGTTTCTTATTCTTTTAATTTACAGTAACGAAACGTTTTCTAACGTTTCAATTTCCTCTTTTTTTAGACAGCCGGTCCTTGAGCACGTATTATTTCAGTAAAAGCTTCCATAAAAATATTTTTTTCTTAATTTATTTCTTTAGTGAAACATTTTTCTAACATTTCAATTTTCTCTTTTTATTAGACGGTCATATCCCTGGGCGCGTATTAGGCTTCCAAAAAAAACTATATTTTTTCTTTTTAATTTATTTATTTAGCGAAATGTTTACTAACGGTTTCGTTTTTATTCTTTTTAGGCGATTCTTTGGGCATGTGGCTTAAGGTGTTGTTTTATACTTAATTTGAGTTTTCTGGTCTCTTTGGATATGGATATAGGAATTCGGCAAGTGATTTTTTTTAATTCTTTTTTTATTATTAGTTTAACGAACAGTTACTAACTTTCATTTTCTTTCTTTTCATTAGATGATTTCCGGATATTTGGATTTTCGGTAAAATATAGTTTATTTTTTTTTTCTGATTTACACAGCGTACCCTAGAAAAATGTCACGAAAAAATCACGTGACTGTTTTTTGTCACATGCGTCACACCCTTCCTTGTTTCCATTTTCATAAGTATCTGGGGGACTCGAATTTTTTCGAGGTGTGAAATCCTATTTGTCACACATTATTTGTTACGTAGTTAATTGCTTAATTTCTTAATGCCGGCCGTTTCGTGCCATTTTTTTAGGATACGCTGGGGTAGTCTTTTTTTCTTTACTGCGCCTTTTAACGAGCTGTTTTTTACTTTTTTTAGGTGATTCTCCGGATCTCTTGAACATAGATTTGGTGAGTGGTATTTTCTTTTATTTTAAATTAACTCTTTCACTGAAACGTTTCAGATTCTTTTTCTTAAGTGGTTCTTTCAGTTTCGTTTGATGCAAAATTCCGGTAAGATTCCCCTTTTTTTTCTTGAATTTTTTTTTATTTTAATGAATAATTTCTAATTGTTTGTTATTTTTTTTAGGCGTTTTTTTGGCTCTTTGGATGTTGGATTTAGTGAGTATATTTTTTATTTAAATTTTATTTCCGCCTTAAAATGATTACTAAATTTTTATTTTCTCCTTTTTTTTAGACGGTATGGACACGTAGGATCTCGGTGAAAAATCAGCCTCAGTTTTTCTTATTTTTAGATGAGTCTAGGCGCTTGGAACAGACAAGTTTTGAAAAAGGGAATTGATAAAAGTCTCTTATAATTTTTTTGTAGGGAAATCGGCTCAGGGAATCAGCTCTGACGTGGGCACCATATTCCCAAGTGAGTTTCGAAAAAAGAAATTTGAAACTTTAATAAACCATTTTTTTAATCTTTCTTTTCCTTTTTTTTGTCGAGAGATCGACTTCGACTTGGAATCAGATCCAAGATAAGTTTCAAAAAAATGAATTCAAAACTTTAAAAAATTAAAATCAGTTTTTAATATATGGGATCCCAGATAGATCAGTTTCGAAAAAAAATATTCGAAACTTGGTTTTGTAGGGAAAATCGATGGCAACAGACTCCCAGGTGAGTTTCAAAAAAAAAAATTGAAACTGCAAAATAATTTTTATTTTTATTTTTTATTTTGATTTTCTTTTGTATCATAGGACTCCTGAGTCCTGACTTCGGAACCTTATGAAAAGACGATAATTATAGTAACATCTTCTTTTATCTTCTCCTCTGACTTCATTATCTCTTGGTGTAATGGATTTTATGTTTTACAAGTGCGAAATTAGTAGATTGAAAGTAAATTTTTGAAAAAATAAATTTTGAACCAAGTTAAAAACGTTTTTTATTATCATTTTTTTCTTTTTTGGAGGAACGGGCTTCCATTTCTTGAATGGATTGGGTGGTAAGTTGGAATTTTTTGAACCTTTTTTTTATTAGGAAACTTTGTTAATGCTTCCTTTTCTCTCTTTTATGTAGGAACGGGTTTCTGATTCTTGGCTAGATTAAATGGTAAATTCTAAAAGGTTCCGAGAATAAAACATTAAAACTGTTTTATTATCATTATTTTTAAAGTTTATCAATAGCATCAATTTCAATATATTGTAATATTAGCAATAAATTGTACAATAAATTTTTTACAATGAAAGTACAAACAATTTATATTACGATTTGTATTATAAAGCTATAGTGAAATGTCCCTACAAGACCAATAACGAATATCTTAACATGGTTTGTATATAATGCACCGTAATATTAATTTTACAATACATTTAAAAAATTTTAAGAGTAATTTTCTAATCTTAGAATATATATTTAATTATTTCAAATATAGCTGAATAAACCTAAAACATAGAGTTAATAAGTGAATCGACCTTGTTGATAAAAAAAAATTTGATATATAGTAAATTCGCAATTTAATAATTTAACTTGTACTAGCAATAATCATATCAACTAAAAATAAAATATCATGTCCGAAGGTGCACTTCTTTCATTAATGAAATAATGTTCATACTATAGGACAGAATTAGAAAATTTTGGCCAAGATTATAAAATGAAATTACGAATCACGGTAAACACGGTGGCTTTGTTTGTACTACTATTGTGTGTATAACATTACCAAACTATTTAAAAGAAAAAATCCAAAGTAGTTTCGTCTCCTTTTAATTATTTATTTCACCTACGATTACTAATAATACCAAAATGCAAAATACAAAAAATACAAATGAATGGATTAATTGGATTGAAGAATCTATATCTAAGGAATATTATAGACTTTATAAACAAAAACATTTTAGTAATATTCAAAAAGTTGGAATTGGAGGATTCGGAAAAGTTTATCGTGCGAGTTGGAAAAATTCAAAATATTTTGCGTTGAAATCTTTTTTTAATCTTGATGACGTTACTGCAAAAGAAATCGTTCATGAGGTATAAATTTAGATGAGCACATATACTGTATATTATGAATATTAAAATGTTATTCTTATTCTCATTTCATAATTTATATTTATGATATTAATATTTCAGCTTAAGCTTCAACGTGATATACAATTTCATAATAACATTATTAAATTCTACGGAATTGCAAAATTTGACCCGGGTATAATAAAATTTTTTTAATACTATTTTAATGTTGCTTGATTTTACAAAAATATATTTTAATAAGAAATGATTATTTTTTTTATCCATACTTAGAAAATGATGACGTTCAATCAAAAAATTATTTACTAGTTATGGAGTATGCTGACTCTGGTCCTCTTAAAAATTATTTAAAGGAAAACTTCAATAATCTTACCTGGAACGANCTAGTTATGGAGTATGCTGACTCTGGTCCTCTTAAAAATTATTTAAAGGAAAACTTCAATAATCTTACCTGGAACGATAAATACAACTTAGCATACCAATTAGCTTGCGCCGTGTCATGTTTACATAATGAAGGAATAGTGCATCGTGATTTGGTAATTTACTTTATTAATATAAAAGTATTATTATTTTTTTTCCATATATTTAATATCATCATGTATTTGCAGCACTCTGGTAATATATTGGTCCATCAAAACACTATCAAGTTGTCCGACTTTGGGTTGTCAAAGAGAATCGAATCATCATCCAATACACAATCAAAACCTTTTGGAATAATTCCTTACGTTGATCCAAAAAAGTTTAGCGAGCGAAGAAAGAATAAAAACTCAACACAAATATTCTCATTGAACGAAAAAAGCGATATTTATAGCGTTGGTGTATTATTCTGGGAGATATCTAGTGGTCAACCTCCCTTTTATAAAGAAGGTGAACAATATGATGTTGATTTAGCAATAGAAATTTCACAAGGTCTTAGAGAAGAACCTATCCCCAATACACCAGAAGATTATATTAAAATTTATACTGGTATTAATTTTTTTCATTAACCTTTCATTTCTCATTAATTATAATTTAGAATTATTTGGTTTATTTACAATAATCTATTTGTTTTTTTTAGAATGTTGGAATGGTGAACCTAATAATCGTCTAACTATAAATCAAGTAGTAGAAAGATTAAAGGAAATTATAACAAAAACGAACATAACAACAGAAAATAATATTAGCGCTTCTTTGAATACTGATAATTCGTTACATGGGGAAATGTCTCAAATTATACAAAATTTTAATAAGATGAATATAAAAGAAATTGTACCCTCAAACATAATAATTGAAGATTGTTCATTTGAAAAAGTTAATGATATTGTAAATTATATTTTCAAAATAGTTAATGAAGGAATAGAATTTACATCAACCAAAAATATTAAAAATATTCTTGTTTATTTTAATAATAATAATACAAGTTCACAAGAAATTTATGATTGGTTATTAATTAATCAAAATAATTCAGATTCTATATTTTTACTTGGATATTTTAATTATTTAGGAATTGAAACAAATGAAGATAATAAGAAAGCATTTGATTTATTTATTAATGCATCAGAGCAAGGTCATACATTAGCACAATTATATGTTGGAGCATGTTATCAAGCTGGTTATGGAACTACAAAAGATGAAAAGTTAGCTCTAAAATATTACGAAAAAATAGCAAATATGGGTTATGCGGCAGGTTTATTAAAAGTTGGATATTGTTATAATTGTGGAATAGGAACTAGTGTTAATTATCAAAAAGCTTTTGAATTATATCAACAGGCAGAAAGTTTAGGAAATATTGTTGCTCAATATAATCTTGGTAATAAGTATTATAATGGAAAAGGTGTCGAGAAAAATTATGACAAAGCTTTAGCACTATATCACCAAGCAGCAAATTCAGGTTATAATTTAGCTCAACATAAAATTGGTCTTCTGTATGAATATGGAATAGGAATTCAAAAGGATATAAATCAAGCGATTTACTGGTATGAGAAATCTGCTAAACAAGGAAATCAACATGCTCAAAATAAACTAGAAGAATTAATATATAAATAATCAAGCTAAATGCATTATTAAATTATATAGTTAATTGTATGATGCATATTATTTAACTGATCCGTTTAAGTAGAGTAATTGTAGTCTAATAATATTTTTATTTTTGCCACGCACGTGATACTTTAAAGAAAACATAATTATAAATTTTTTTTTTTCTACAGTTGTTTAATTTATTCTTTGAGCATATCTATAACTAAAAAAAATATTGTGTGTATTTTTCTTTATTATTGAAATTATTTTTTTTCAAAAAAAAATCAAATATAAGATCAATGTTATTATTGTATCATGTTTAACAACTGAAGAAATAATACACAATAAATTCGCAAAGTTAAAATAATTTTTTGCTCTACCACAACACATCTAACTTGGTAATATTCAATGCCGGTCAAATTATATTTTAACTTTGACGACGTCATGCGATAAGTAGCCAGGGATGGAATTGGATCAAATGAGTCGACTCGAGTCGATTCTGGAACCGAACTTAAACTTAAAAGATTCTGGATCTCTTGGGCTTAAACCTATTTTTAACCATAAAAACCGTTCTGAACTCCGAACCGATTCGAACCGACTTCAAGAACCGACTCAAATTGAGTCATCTGACGATCACATACCAACTAACATTTGAAGGCCAATCAAAATTTTTCTGATTCACATGCTTGTATCTTGCACGTAATTCATATTTTTATTTATTAGAGCCGGAAATAGAACCGACGAATCGATTTCCATCCCTAGCGATAAATCGAATTCCCTAGTCATCTTACAAGAAGAGTATAACAAAAATATAATAAAAAATTCAAAATTACAACAATACTACCATTACCACCATTATTACTTATTTCTCTAAAATCCATTCAATATAAACTTTATGATATTTACTAGATGATTTTTTACCATAATAATAATCTACACATGATTTCGTTATTGTTATTAAATTCTTTATATTTCATAGTAATTAACCATTATATAAAGCACAAAATAAATTTTTTAAACAAAATCTAGATTATTTTTAAACCTTCAATAGAAATTTTCCACATAGCAAGATTTAATAATTTTAAATTATTAGCGAAATCTCTTAACTGAAATATTGATCATTTAAAAATTTGATATCATAAATTCATAATTATCATTATTATTACAATTAATATGATTATTATAGACAATAAAATTATCATAATAATTATCATCATTACTATAAATTTCGTTTTTAAGATTTTTGAATCTTTTAATATATTAAGAAATTGATTAATTTGTAAAAAAAAAATGATTAAGATTTAAAGGATAAGAATATTCTAATATTAAATTAGGAATAGTTCAATAAAATTCGAATAAGATGATTAAATTGGTATAATTTCAACAGGACCCAGAAATATATATATGGGGGTCAGGTGATGAAAAAATTTTTTTACTATGAGCTGTACGCATTTTTTCAGGGCCGGAGTTATAATAATGTCAGTCGGTTACTATAATAGGAAATAATATTTTGACTAGCATTATCAAAAACTATCTAAAAAAGGAAAGATTTTCCTGATTTTTTAAGTTCAAAATACGCAAACTCAAACCTGACCCTTTTATATATATTTCTGGGTCCTATTTCAACCCTTTAATATTATTTTAAATGATAACTAACAATAAAAAATTTGAATTCATATTACAAAATTTCATCCAAAAATTCTGCAAAGATAAAATTATTCAATCTTATAAAATCCTTACTATACAATTTGTATCGTTCCTTTCACGTCACGAAAATAATCCTCTTCAATAACACAAACTATTTTAAGAGTTATAATATTAATTATTTAATGCATCGATCAATTTGGGCGAAGATTACTAAATCAAACTGAATTTGTGATAGACACACGCACTATCGTGCTGTTTTAATATCATTCAAATAAAAATATTTATGTAAATTGTAAATATACTATTATCAGCTTAACGTTTAATACTTTAAAAGTTTCCTTAATAAAAATTATTTTATTACATTCTCACTATTCTATTGGTCCTCCGAAATTTTAAAATTTCAGATTTTTTACAAATTAACTACAAGTAAATGTACTTTTTCAAATTGATCTAAAGACTTAGGAATTTCTCAAATTATATAACTAATATTAAAGTTCTATTTACGTATTTATCAACATTATTTACATTATTTAATATTTAAAATTGTATCCACATATTTATAATTAAGATAATTAAGATTGGTCTCTTTATGAAAACTGCTTGTTTTAATTACTATTAGCTATATTGAAATACACGATGTTGAATGTAGCAATTGGCGACTACCAGCTGTTACTGTCCTGTAAAGAGCTTTTATATGAGATTAATCGAATAAAATGTATAGAAGACAGCAAATAATCACGGTTAATTGCTACTCACGGTTCTATATACTTCTATTGTCAATAAACAATTTAAATATACGACTCGTTAATCTTTCAATTCTAGTTTCAAAATCTAAAATATTGACAAAATTTTTTTAAAGTGTAATTTTCGACATATACAGTATATTTTATTAATTTCAAGTATATTATCTGAATAAATCTTCGCAAAATATCATTATAGAGTTAATAGGTGAATTGATCTTGTTGATAAAAAAAATTGATATATAAATTCGCAATTTATAAAATTTGACTTGTACTAGCAATAATCAGGCATATCAACTAAAGAAAAAACATCATGTTCATATTTTTTCGAAGGTGCGCTTTTTTCATTAATGAAATAGTGTTCATAATTTAGGCCAGAATTAAAAAATTTGGAAATGAAATTACGAATCACGTTAAACACGGTGGCTTTGTTTGTACTACTATTGTGTATGTATAACATCATATTTAATAAATGAAAAAATCCATAAACCCCTTTTGATTATTTATTTCACCTACGATTACTAATAATATCAAAATGCAAAACGCAAAAAATACAAATGAATGGGTCAATTGGATTGAAGAATCTATATCTAAAGAATATTATAGACTTTATGAACAAAAACATTTTAGTAAAATTCAAAAAGTTGGAACTGGAGGATTCGGAAAAGTTTATCGTGCAAGTTGGAAAAATTCACAATATTTTGCGTTGAAATCTTTTTTTAATCTTGATGACGTTACTGCAAAAGAAATCGTTCATGAGGTATAAATTTAGATAAGCACATATAT